AATGGCGGCCATTTTTGTTCTGAAAAATCATCAAAATCAAGCATTTCCCTGCTGTTTACAGATGGATTTTGTTCAAACTTGGTATATATACTTGTTTGACGATCAGATACTAATGCCAATCATTTTAATGCTAAACAATCATCATAATCGTATACCTGACATGGTTATACTCCAGCTATATTACTATAAACAAAACAATATATCTTAAATTCGATAACTAACAGGGACTGTTCCATGCATGGCTTGTTATACATGCTTTGACATACCCGGTAATAGCAAAGTTTCATGAGTTCAAAATCAGAAACTGCATTCAAAACTAAACCGTTCTCACAAAGGGTAATTTCGTTATATGTGTTTTTTACATAATTGTATCAACAAGGTTTATTATTTTTGTGAAACGTTCAAAATAGAATTTATTAAATGAATGAGCCTATGTATGCATGAGATAAAGTGTTCGACAACACGATATTGAACCCTTACAAGTTGTAATATATTAACCCATTTGAAACCCTGGTCCGTTGTTTTCATTAACTGTCGCGTAGGCGTGTATGTAACTTTATTGCGTCCACAACAGTCACTGGAGCATCTAGGAAAGTGTCTGGGGATGTTGCAAAGTCCCTCGGTAATTACCTACCGAGTGCGTGTATGTAAATATTAAATGTAAAGCATTATTTAATAAATGTTATTGTTTTGCTAACGAATAATTTTAATGCCAAAAATAAATTAAAAGTGCATCATACATCATTTTTCTCTTGTGAGATGGGATGATAAACTAGTTTTACAGTTTTATAAGTTTTATAGTTATAGTCTCTCATTTAATCTTAAAATTCCTGTCAAATATTTTTAGTTAGAAAAGTTGTACATTTGCAAAGACATAATGTAAAAGTTGAAGAACTAAACAAATAGAAAGAAAGAAAATATTTGTATGTATTGAAATTACAGTTTTTCAAAAAAAGATCAAAATAGAATTGGTTGGCTGCTAATAAAACTGTTCTTTTGTTGTAGTCAACCTCAAATGAGAGTGATTTAAATGAAAACAGTTTGGCTTATAATTTGTATTTCAATAAGAATAAACATGCATTTACTGACTTAGTTAATTAAAATGCAAAGAAAAAAAAAATGTAATGCCTGCATTACACAAATGTAAAAGCATTTGTTGTAAACTGCTATTAATTGATGTACTGGTTGTTTAGATATGCATGTTATTCGTTTCATAATCTCTAGGCATTGCACCACTTATAAACAGAACATCAATAAGGTCAAGGGAAACAAATCTTGTGTACAGTAATTGGTTAACAAAATTCTAAGTCGGCAGGTCAGATCTTTTTTTATTTTATTTAATTTTTTCCCTAGAGAACTATATTTTAAAAGGCTGGATCATTAAAATATGAATAATTGTAACCATAGAGACTTTTGTCTTTAATTAAGCACAGATACAGGTAATTTAATCACAATTGACCCCAGCAACAGGGGAATAATGAGTAATAGTTTAATTTGATTAGATATTTTCCATTAGTTACTAAGCTTGTAACTTTGCTTTTATTATATGTATTTGGTAACTGGGGGAGGGGGGGGGGTGATGTTATTTATAACACAATCTTCAAAATTTAAGACTAAACTTCAAGACTAAACCTTTTCTGTATTACGATTGCATATTGCAGTAATGAATGCCCTATACCAGACATAACATGATGTCAGAATCGAGATTACTTCACAGAGACACTTCAGTATTTGAACTGAAAATTCTTTGTGTTCATCAAAACACTGGACATAATCACATTTGTGAATGGAGATTCACAGAAGTTTACAGAATTCACAATATGCAAAACATGGCAACATATCAAATACCATCCCATGAATGTGCAGCGTGAATGTCTACAAATTGGAATAATTCAAGGCATCATAACAATATTATGCTACAGCTCGAGTTGAAAGATGATCTTATACAGACAGGTGCCTTATGGGACTACATTGCATAAAAATAATGATCAGTCAAACCAAATTGTCTGAAGCTGATGGACAAGATTTTAAGTAAATAAAGTATATTTCATAGATATTTCATGCCTCAAAAACATCTTTTTGTGAAGTTTGTTTATGCTATCTCAAAGAGATCATAAGTCTGTGAATCAATATATCGTGAGATTACATCAGTTAGCACAAACCTGTAAATTTGACAATCTCAGGGAAAGTCTCTTGAAGGATATACTTGTTGTAATACATGGAGGTGAAAGTAAAAGTAGAAGATTCCAGAAAAAGATTGCCTTGTGTGACGAATATTCTGGCAAGCTGGCAATGGGACAAGCCATTATACGAGACATGTAGAACGCAACACAGACAATGCTAATATTATTAATATAAGCCCAATCAATGGAATTTATATTTATTATTTCTTGTTAATATTCATTCTCAGTTTCATGTTCGTAATATATTTCTTCTAAATGTTACACAGCAATGATACATGATACCAGAGATAGATTACTGAGGGAACAACCTTCACCAATCTGTAGAGATGAACTTTAAAAACCTGCTTGCTATGCTAAATATTTACCAGCCCTGTTTATGTTTTCAATATTTTATTTTAAATCGTTTCACTACATCTCATTCAATCAGTGTCACTGCAAGTCAGAAAAATCTGATTCATAATCTGAGAGAGCATCTACATCAGCAGATCCAGTAACATTGAAGGCCACTACTCACTTAGGGTGCTTGTTTATTTAGCTCAAATGCAGCAATTGTGATGAGCAATACATTTGGATTGTCATATGCATGGTCAGACTAGAGCTCTTCAATTTATTCATGTAACTGCATAGTATTGGTTATCTTCATTTGTGAAAAGACCCTCTTTTTATATTCAACTTTTATCTTTGCTGGAGGCTTGATTCCTAAAAAAAACAACTCAATAATTTCAAAACACAGTGTAAAACAGTGAGCAGAACCAGAAATGGTCGGATCAACTGGAACGCTTGCTTATTGTGAGAGTTTGAATGACACATATGGTGAGAGTTCATTGAATTCGCACATCGTTCATGGATTGTTGTTGTTTATAATTGTTTTACATGTTGCACGTTTCAAAACGGTATCATCAGACTTCTAGGTACATAATTTTGACAACAATCATAGGCAATTTGTGATTTTTGTAAAAAGTAATATTTTTTATTTTCTCAAAAAATTTACCCAACCACAGCCCGACTGAATAGTTACTCATGCCAGGCGTATGGGCAGGCAGTAATTTGAAACACTGGTGCAGTGTTAAAGGAAGGTTAATTTACCTACATACTGAAGGTATAGTGTATACTTTTGTCATTTGCTTGTATTTTCCCTAGAACCTTCAATGGAAACACATCAGTGACTTTACTTGCTGTGGTTGATTATTGAGGGTTTTAACTCCACATCTGACCATCTTTTTTTGGCTCCGCTGTCGACTTTGTCGAGCGGAGCTTATCATATGAGTGATTGTCCGTCGTCGTCCGTGTCAATGTTTTACTTTTTCGACTTCTTCTTGAAAACTACAAGCCTAAATGCTTTGATACTTGGTGTATATGTACCTTGGGTAGACCTCTCTTAGGTTTGTTCATTTCATGTTGATATCTTCAATTCTCTAATTTTGGTGAATATTTTTGTCATTTTTGGTAAAAAGTGATATTTTCGACTTCTTGTTAAAAACCGCAAGTGCAATTGCTTT